GATGTGTATAAGAGACAGTGTAATATGTATTTGAATTAAATAATTTATTATCAAGATAAAAACTATCTTGTCCTATTTTAAGAACTGTTACATTTATAACTAAAATTGATTACCTAATACTCCGGGTTGATATACATTTTTACAGGTTCACAAAGGAGTGAAAGGATTTGTGATGTCACCAGATGGAGTGGGTCTACCCAATGCATCAATTTCAGTGGAGGGGATTGATCACATTGTTAGAACAGCCGGAGGCGGAGACTATTGGAGACTTTTAGTTCCAGGGACCTATCAGGTCACAGCTTCATTTGACGGGTATGTGTGTGTATGTTCTGTATATGCTTTAGAGTTGTGGTGGTGGTTCATTTAAGCACCGCTGCAATGCCCATCCTTTATCTACCTTTTCTACCATTTATGTTACCTTTTGAAAGACATTTCCTGTTTATGGTGAGCTCAAAAACAAACCCAAAACTCAGCTAAAACCAGGTTGTTTGATTCTTAAATTAAATGTTTTAGCAGATTTTTGAAGTGTTTTTTAAAGTTCATATCAAAACAAACAGTTAGCATAATGTTTGCAGGAAGAAAATTAAGTGACTATTTTATTTGATGAGATAAGTAATGTTTTCACTGAAACACAATTTTTCTTTTTTTTTTATCACACAACACATTAAAAAGACAACGTAAATTTACAAAATTAAAATTAGGTTCTATTTGAAATATTAAGGCCAACTTAAACAGTGTCATACAATGTACCCCAACATGAAATATCTTCCAGGACAGTGTCAGGTTGTCATGAGAATATTGCATGCATTCTACAACTCAATATCTATGGACGTAGTCTCATAAAGACTTAATGCGTCTGTGTTTAACTCACGCACTGGCACTGTGAGATGATAAATCGGGTCTGGCTGCAATTTTCTCATCCTTTCGTGCCTGCATCTTACGATGCTATCTGATTTGGCTTTTATTGAAATTACAGATTTGAGTCTGTGACTAAAGATGTTACTGTAATGGAGGATTGGGCTGTGCAAGTCAATTTCACCCTGACACAAGGCTGGGCACAAACGTACGACTTTGATCTGCCTCAAAATGCTAGTCGCTACATAACCAATGAGGAACTCATCGATAAGATTGTAGAGATAGGTAGATTACATCCCAGCATAGCGGAGGTGAAGGGGCTTGGACAGACTAGCGCGGGTCTGAAAATCTTGGCTGTGGAATTAACTAATCGTCATGATCAGACTATCAGTGACAGACCAAGTGTGGCTTTGATTGGTGGAATGAGAGGTGATGAGCCTGTCGGTAGGGAGATACTATGGAGACTTTTAAGGCATTTCTCAGAGGGTATGTAATATAGTTATGTTTAAATTTCTTTTACATGCTTGTGCAGACATACTCTATGCTGTGGTAGTGCAATTTTTCTGTAGAATGGAATGTTTTAAGATTCATTGCAGTTCATTTCATTTGACAGGCATGCCAAGTACAGTGTGAATATATTTTTATCAGGGAGTTGGTAATTGGTCCCAAGTTTTGACAGATGACCAATGGCTGATAGCACCCTGTCCGATATTGGGCTATGTTTAGAGTAACATTAACCCTATTGAACTTACAGTAGCATTATCAACAAGCTATACAGTAGCTGTAAAACGCTAGTCTCTACAATGTACTCATGCAGCTATGAGGAGTCTATTTTTAAACCAAATTGATTATAATATAATTAATTATAATCAGCAGTCAGCAATCTATCTTAATCATGTCTTCAGATCAGTTTAATGATCGATTATAGAGTAGAGCACTGGTCTTGTGGTTAGTGTGTCAAACTTACACTGCCACAGTCTTTGGTTTGATTCATATAGGAGTTATTTATTGATTACTGTCTAATATAAGGTTGTATGTAATAAATATGGGAACTGTATTATTTACACATCCTTTTATAATTGGCAAATAAAATGTAAGTTTATAATATTGAATGTTATTGCAAAGTTTATTAAATCAGTACAAAAAAACTAGATCCTATTTTATTGGTGTTTACTTTATAAGATTTGTAACAATCAAATTTGATGTGACAAATTTATGTGATGTGCCCATGTATGGGTATGATGATTTCATATTACACTCAAATATGGGCATATCATATTTATAAAATTCTGTAGTTATGGATTAAGCTTTAGTTGAGTCTTTCTTTTTCTTTATAGTAATTATTAAATTTAAAAATAGTTATGAATATTGTATTTTCTTGTAGGTCATGAGAAGAGTGACGAAGGCATTTCGAAGATCCTAGATACCACAAGGATCACGATAATTCCGGCTGCTGACTTGGACTCCTTTCCAACCGCTGCTGAGAATGACTGTGGACAGCGAACACAAATGAATGAAATGGTAAGATTGTTTGTTATCTTTTTCTGTTCATCTATATACATTAAAATACCTTTATTAAAGGCTCCATATAAAACTCGAAATCATACCATTTATGAAATCACTTGTCTCTATGGTATTTGTTACATTATCAAGTTTTTTTGGTATCCACATGCATTTGTTGATTTGTATAGTGTAATAACTTATAACATTTGCTTTTTTCTGTATTTTTTTTTTAAGGTGCGATTTTTCTCTTTGTATTGAGTATCTTGTTTTACATAGATAGATATTTAATTGTTATAGCTTCTAGGCCTGTTTAAATAATAAATATGTGTTTACATGATGATTATATTACAATAATTTATATAATTAGAGGAAGTATCTTTATGTATTGTGCATTTTTAAATATTTAATTATTTGTAATATGTCTAGCTAGGCCTATGTGTTTTTTCAAGCTAATAAATATATACTACATTACTCTTTTACATTATGGTTATTACATAAATTTGGCAATTAAGAAAATTATATATATTGTTGTTTCTGTTTGGCCTTCAGTCCATGATTCTTTGTGTTTTGTTGTTTCAAATGTTTATTAATGAATAAATAAGTTATTTGAAAAAAATTGCTTTACTTGAAGGGGGAATACATTCCATGTTTTAATGATATGATTTTGCTGGCCAGTTACTTTTTTAACATCATGGAGGTATTAAAATTATTTAATAATGTATGATGCTTTTGTTGTTTTGTTTCGGCAGAATCAAGAATCACCAGTAGTTCATGCCATTCTATCTTTTTTTGAAAGTCAAAACTTCTCACTTGTGTTAAGCATTGAATCAAGTGGGTTTTGGATGAGGTAAGTCATTATTGATTATTCGCTTGTAAAAATACGGCCACAGTAAGCCCTTGAGCTTCAAATCTAAGCTCATAGGCTGAAGTGCCTCTCTCTCTCCTTCCTTAGCATTTGAGCTAGAATAGGCCGGTGTTGGGGCTCGCAACTCGTCCTGCACATCCATTTTATTTACCTCTATAGCATGTGTAGGTACTGCAATGATATAACGGAATTAGTGTCCATTGTTTATTCAAGTATTTGGTGACGTACTGAGCCATATTTTTGAGTTACTATCAATGAGAGTTTTAAATATGAACAAAAGCTTGAACTTGAAACCATATGTATTTGTTGTCATGTACAGATTTTTAAAATATTTAAAAAATTTTAAGTGCCTGATGGTTTTAATGTCTGTTACAAGTTTTTCTCTTGCCTTTTATAATGTCTCTTTTTTAGAATCTGTAAAATTGTACAATTCAGTCTTTAATACCGCAATTACAATTATTTTTGAATAAAATACCTTTATGAATGAATGAATGAATGAATAAACAATAGATTTATTTTCTTCTGATTATGCTTTGAACTACAATTTAACTCATTTATCTGAATTAATTTTTAGTCATTGAATTTATCACTTTAAAAACATTTATATTATTCCACTCTTGCAGAATTCCATTAGACAACCCTGTTTATACAAGTCGAAAGACCCACGGCTCTGTCACTGAGGATGATGAGCTGCTGTCATACTTGGCTGAGTCCTATTCTGTGGACCATTCCACTATGGGCAGTAGGGCTTGTAATGGACATGTGTTCCCATCTGGTATGGTTCATGGGGCAGACCTAAGTCCTACAGATAACACGCTGCAAGATTATCTTTATCTGCATAAAAATTTAAACATGGTAAGTGTAGTCAACATTTGATGTAGTCTTGTATATTTTATTATGCTCCTGAATATGTTACTGAGATAGGTTGGCTTTTTTTGAATTCATTATTTTAAACATATTTGCATATTTATATCACTTTGTTTCTGTTTTAGATCACGGCTCATGTTTCATGTTGCAAGCATCCAGATCACTCAAAGATCCCAGAACTATGGCAACAGAATCTTCAACCAATCATGAACTTCATAAAGAAAGCAAATCAAGGTGGGTTCACATGTGTTCATCAGATTGGTATTTAACACAGCACTAGTCTTCAAATTATTGTGTGCAAAATTAATAATAATAATAATAATAATAATAATAATAATAATAATAATAATAATAATAATAATAATAATAATACCACATGTTACAGGCCTGTCACTAGAGAATCCTTGTGGAGCTTTTTGTTTGAAACTGTAGAAAAAATGAGCAGCCAAAGGAAAATTATGATGATTCTGATAAACAGTTATAATAAAGCAGTCTAATTCATTGATACTTAGATAAACCAAATAGTAAAAAAAAAAAAAAAAATCAGTACAGTTTGAACACCGCCCAGAAAATTATGAATCGTCTGCTATGTTCATATGATTGTATTTCCTTTCATAATTTCATTGATTGATTAAATGATTTTTTTTGAATGGTTGACAAATTAAATATTTAATCAATCAATTATTCAAATATTCATTTTGTCAACCCACGGAGATGATTTTGAGTAACACTTTTTTTTCTTCAGGTGTCCATGTTCACCTGGTTAATGAGCAAGGTTCACCTGTAACAGATGCAATGGTCAGTCAGTGGAGTCACACTTGTCCATTCACCTTTGAACCCAGTGAACAACGATTCCACAAGTTATTAGAAGAGGGCAAAAACACTATAACAGTTGTTGCCCCTGGTTACAGTATGACTACAAAGGAGGTAACAGTCCAAAAGAATCAGGTATGTTAGAAATTAATTATCATAATAGTAATTATTATGCCTGTTTATATAATACTGCCTTACATAATTGAAGACCTGTCCCATCTCTTCTTTATTAACATTACTGCCTTAATAATTAGATACATAATATGATAATAATAGTAATATACAAAGACCTCATACTTCAATTGTGCATTAATATGTCAGAAGTCATGTCATCCAAACAAATCTTACCCCTTGTGTATTGTCTGCATTTTGTAGTGTTTTATGTATTACAAGTGTTTGAAAAGTGGTGTTCATATTCTTCTACACCATACATTTGAATACCTCCCTCTTCTATTTTTTTGTAGTATACTTCATAAATTGCAGATTTAGATTGTTTTGATAATGTCGCCAAAATGGTATCTATAACAAAAAGTAATATTCGAAAGTTATGTTGTATATTAAGAAGATCATTATTGTTTTTCAGGTCATATACAGTCAGTCCTAATTTTTTTGTTTTTTTTTTGCCTAAAACTTGAAAGGTTACAATTTCTATGCATAACTTCCAGCAATAACTTTTGTTAATACAGTAAAACATCCATTTTACGAACGTCAATTTTACGAATAGTCAATTTTACGAATGATCTTTGCCCCTGATGACGTCACCAACGATCAATTAATTTCCGTAAAAAAAGTCCAATTGCGCCCGTTTTACAAAGTGATAATGTATATTTTTCTTGATAAAATCAAGTTTGTTGTATTTATTAATTAATAGTTCGATCTTTTTTTCCATTTCTGGTAAAATAATCACTATATTATTGTAATAACCTAACCATAACATTAAACTACCAACGCAAGTGTCGTCGGATTGAGCGCACATGTTTACGATGACGAACAAGAGTGTTGGGGTCACCAACTTATTGACATCGTGAATGCTAGATATGATCGCGAAATGCATGTAAACAATACAATGCGGCAATCTAACAACTAGAAAGAACACGATAGAAAGGTCCATAAAACATACAGATGTTTGAATAAGAGTTAAAATAACATTTTGTCAAGTGGAAGAATGCCAGCTATTAAAATAAATTTTTTTCTAAGGTAAATTCAGCTAGACTCTGTGTGACAGACCACGCTGCTGTCGGTTCGTGCTAGGCCTGGCTGCCGTCAGCTTATCAGTGCTCAATGGAAGGCGATAGCTAGGCCTAGGTATTGGAAACTGACACCCGATCTAGTTTACAAATTTTTTAATTTACGAATACCCCTTGTTACCAAGGGGTACATAAAATGGACATTTTACTGTATTATATTATTCTTTGTAGATGACATCTGTTACGGTGGAATTGAAGTCGGAGCACATCCTCAGATACCACGATTATGATGCAATGCTGTCAAAGTTACGAAACATTACATTCAGTAATCCGTCCTTATGTAGTTTACACCCGTGAGTATTCACACAAACTTTTGCAATAAACAAATATATTAATTCGGTAACATTCTTGAGTTTTTTTTTGGCGAGTCGAGAAGCCGAGCAGAAAGGCAGGGGTGCTGCTAACAGCATTATCATCGGCGCTGGTTCCAGTCGCTCGTATTCAAGAACCCATTGCATCTTTTGCAAGAGTTATCATGATGCTATGGTTCATTTCAGCCCTTGTCTGCGACTGCTACAGTAGTCACGGACCACGCTCAAGTGCAGTGCAGCACGACGATGCTACGAGTTATGGGATATTCGCCTACCTTTAACTATTTTTGGTCTTTACAATTTTCCAGCAAAATATCAAATTTTTATTATAATAAATTGTTCTTTATAGTATTGGCAAGACCAAACAATTCCGTCAAATATGGGCATTAGAAATCGGCCAGCACAAACCTGAACCAAACACTGCTGAGAAACCACATGTAAAATTCCTTGCCAATATCCATGGTAATGAAGTCGTTGGCCGTGAACTGCTGCTGGCCTTAGCCAGTTACCTGGTTGATAGTTATGGGAGTGATGACCTTGTAACGCATGTAAGTCTAATGCCATCCTACAATTTATTCGCATTAATGTAGTTTATTCTGACATCTCGGTACACATTTATACTTCGAGGTGGAGAGAAAAAAACATAATTTGAGGATACAGTTAAAATTATTTGTCTGTGCACATAGCACTGTACACGAGTAAGTCTCATTCACACAGTCATTAGAACAAATGCTTATGAAAAACATGCTTGGCTCCTTCCCCAGTGGAGTATTCTATAATTTGTTGTATTAAATTAATCATGCATTGGCACTCAAACCTCCTTGGCACCTACTTATACTCTCAGATGGAGAGTGACAATGTGGAGAAAATGCTATGCCCAATGACATAAATGACCTGCACAGCAAGGGCTTTGAACCCCCAACCTCAAGCTTGGGAGTGTAAGCCACAACTGCTGTGCCAACCACTTCCACGAAAAATTGCAGCGTCATATTCAAGCTTCTGTTCCCAAATTTAAGATCTCAAACCACCATGTCAAGTCTGTCATAAAATAAATATACATCAAAATAAATAAATAAATAATTAAAATAAAATTAATTAATTTATTCAAAATAATAATGCAGAAAAAAGGCTACATGTACACTCTGCAGGTGGAAAACAATGCCGTGAGCAGCTCTACCAAGAGATGGATACGTGCGCCTAATAAGATGACATTATTATTATTATTATTATTATTATTATTATATTGATATAAATAAAGGATTGATTAATATTTAATCAAAGATGTAGTAGAGGTGGGCAGGGCCAGCCTACCTTGAAGTTTTTCACCCTGTCTAAGGTAATTTCATTGTCCTCCACCCACCTTTATTAACCCCATTGCCCATCCTGAAAATAAAATCCACTCTTATTTAGAGTTTATACCAAAGTTACTACCATCCATGCTTTAAGTGTCTACTATCTACCCTTAGTTTCCTCCAGCTACAAACCTGTCAAATGACTGACTTAGAACTGTCAATTTTTTTACTTTCCATAGCTCGTTGATTCAACTCACATTCACCTGATTCCAATGGTGAACCCGGATGGCAGCCAACAAGCCGAAGGCGAAGAAGGCAACTGCGCTAGTACTAAAGGACAAAATAATACAAATAATGTTGATATTGACATTACTTTCCCAAGTGAGTTTTACAAAATATTGTCAAATTAAAATGGGTATTTCTAGACTTAGTCTTAAAAGGATGAATTGAAAACTGGGTTAATCAAAAGGACAAATAAAACAGTGTTGAGTAGAAGTTAATTTATTTTGGAGAAAATGCTAACCATTCTTCAAATTTAACCTACTGCCTTGTTCATGTATAAAATCATTTTTTGTTCTTTGTAGTAAATAAAATGAATAATAGTCACTTTGAACCGCAACCAGAAACCAATAATTTGATAAAATGGATGAAGAAGACTCAGTTCTCCATATCTGTTGCCCTCTACAGCGGAACCAGTGTAGTCAAACTTCCTTATAACTTCATCCATAAAAACAGTAAGTTATTGATTTTTGTTTTTATATTTTTTATTTAAAAATATCTTAATTTTTTATGTTTTAATTTGACTCCTAAACATCTTGAAGGTTGTGTGAGCAATAAAACGGCATTACACAATTGTCTCCACAAACCTTTACCCAAAAAAAAAAAAGAAACAAATTAAAAAATATGTGATTTTATATATATAAAATAGCTTTTCTTTATGTCAAAAATTAAGTCAATTCCTATTTATATTTCATATACATCTCAAATTATGTCAAATATTATTGGTGATGAAAAATATTATTTATTTTGCATACATATTTGTCTTTCATAGATCATGCAAGTGAAACTGTGACACCAGATAATGACGTGTTCAGATACCTTGCAAGTACATATGCTCAAGCACATCCCAGCATGCATCAGGGGAATCCGCAATGCCCAGATCATCAAGGTACTAGGAACAAATCAGGAGAGATGTCTTTCACTTTCTTGTCCTCCTTGGTGTTAATGTTGGTTGTGGAGGCGTGGTGTTTTTTTTTTTGGTGATTAGAGGTGATGGTAGAGTCACTGGTGTTTTGGTAGCATTGTTGTTATTGATGATGGTAGTGTTGGTGGTGTTGGTTGTGGTAGTAGTGTTGGTGGTGATGATTGTAGTGTTGGTGACAATGATAGTGTTTTGTGATAATGCTAGTGATGGTGGTTATGACAGTGTCGATGGTGATGGTGATGTTGGTAATGGTAGTGGTGGTGATGATTCATGGTGTTGGTAGCTATGATATGGTTGATGATGATGGTAATAATGTTAATGATGATGGTAGTGTTGGTGATTATGTTAGTGTTGGTGATGATGTTAATATTGGTCATGATGTTAGTGCAGGTGCATTTGTGTTGCTAATGGTGTTGGTGATGGCAGTGTTAGCCAATAGTGTTGATGCTGTTACTTTAAGCTATAAAGATATACAAACTATACATTTTTCATTTGATTGACAGGAGATCATTTTGAAGGTGGTATGGTAAATGGAGCAAAATGGCATGGTCACACAGGTAGCATGCAGGTAAGTGTAACTTACAGTGTTCTATTGATGTCCCCAAGCAAAATATATTATATGCATTTGTGTATATAGGGGCTTGTAATTTAGCATTATATTGCTTTTGTATGTAGATACACAGTACCCAACTTCTTATGGTATTTCTATAATCAATTTAATACTATTGCTGCGTTTGCAGGATTACAATTATGATGAATTGAACTGTTTGGAATTAGCAGTGTACACTGGTTGCTGTCACCACCCAAAAGAGGTGGAGCTACAATCCATATGGCATGCCCACCGGAAGCCCCTGTTGGCTATGATTGAACAGGTAGAGGATTATATCATCATCATCATTATTCTCATCATTGCTATCATTATCATTATCAACATTCATTGATATATATATATATTGGTGAAAGTGATGACAATGAAAACAAAAGTCAAGTTGACGTATTTTTGGAACATAATTTATTAAACACGAATATATATTATTATTATTATGTAAGATTCATCGTAATTTGTTTGAACTAATTATACTATATTCTTTGAAAAAATGTGTTTAATATGAATTTAAAATGATTTAGAATATTGAAATAAAAAACATTTGATCATCATCATTATCATCATTATAATTGTCATAGTTATTTCATTATAATTATCATCCTCATCTTCAACATGCTCGTCATTATCATTATTATCATCATGAATATCATTATAATCATCATCATTATCATCATATCATCATCCAACTAATGTGTAGGCCACCAGAATGTCATGATGTAATTCAGAAGTTGTTATTCATTGTTATTAATATTTATTACCATTTCTTTTTCATCAATTTAGGCCCACTTTGGCGTACAAGGTAGCATTCAAGACCACTATGGTCGCAATATCGGTGGCGCCACGGTGAAAGTGGACGGTCGGCAACACGTGGCCACATCCTCGGAGTCCGGTTACTTCCACCAGCTTCTGCTTCCTGGCACATACCATGTCAAGGTAGAAGCCAAGGGCTATAGTGTGACTACAGTAGATATTGTGGTACCTAACCGTGCAGCGAACAACATCACCATTATACTGTATGAGGAAACATATATATTTGGAATGAGGCCATCATTTTTTATCATGTTTGTTGGTAAGTTGACTAGTAGAGCTAAATAAAAAATTTTAATTCTTTATCTGTAATTTTTTTTTACCTATGACAACAATTGTTTGCAGTTTTTACTGTTTTATGTACATATTTTGTATTTGTTCATTAGATAATAATGGGCTATGTTTAGAGTAATTTTGACCTTTTCAACTTAGTTACAGTAATAAATAATTTAAAAACTCTGCTGCCTTTAAAAACATAATTTTGTTTAATTGTTTCAGGTGTGGCCCTTGCTGTTATCATGTTGTTGATCCTATGCCTCATCCGTGTCTGTAATGGAAACAGACACGGCCATCACAGGAAAGGATTCTACCGACTGGACGGTGACAAAATGTACCAAGAGGAGTTTGCAGACCGAATGGCTATGAAAGCATTTAATTCAAAACAAACATTACTTAGTAATGGTTACCATGACAACTTCAGTGAATCAAGTAGCGAGGAAGACGTTATCTTTAATACGTGACCTTAGATTTATGATTATTTTTTTAAGACAGGACGTCAGAAGAATTAGATTTTATAATTGGAAATGCAGATAGGTTGATTTTTATGAGGTTCAGTTGAAAATATTTAGAAATGATTCATTCATGCCTAAGAAACAAGCTTTATAAAACAATTTTTCAATACTGCGTATATGTAATTATTTTTTTTTTTTAAATTGTTGAAGATAGCATGTAAACTTAATGATGCACAAATAGCAGCATATGGGATATTAAATTGGGGTGTGGGGAGGCTGATGGGATGATAGTGTTGTAGAACAGTAAGGTGGGGAACTTGCTGGGGAATGATGTGACAGTTAAACCCTAGTGTCGCACTATTTTAAACAACTTTTGTTTTTTGATTTGCGCCATAATATTTTACATTATTTTATCTAGACCTGGACAAAATTTATAGGTAGAATGGTAAGTGTTGAGGTAGGGGGAAACTTTGATATAAGTTAGAGGAATAAGTTGTATTGTTTACGGAAATAATTTATGTTGTACAAGAAAAAAATGTTATTTGTAACAGTCAATGCTAGTACTGTTTGTCTAGCCTATAAAGCAGTATATATGTTTTTCAATTGGTTTATTTTATCTTATTCTGAAAGTGTACTTATTTGATAACATTGAGATCATTACTCGCATTCTTTCATAGGGGAATAACAAGGTCTACAGTGCTTCTGGTCCTACTTCAAAGCAATGACTGACAAAATACAGAACTTATTTTCTGTATATTCTAAATCTGTTACTTCCAAATATGATTCCAATCAGCAAAAGGCTTGGAAGTTAAAAATGCTTGCCTTCGAGATCCAAAGTCCAGGGGAAAATTATTATGGGATATCTCACTCATGTTTTCTGCTGTAAATATTGCTTCCTGCATATATTATGCAGTGTGATTTGTAAAAAGTTATGCACACATTGTTTTCTGGTTGTGGAAATGCACTTAAAAAAATCCCAGAATATATGTGTATAAAGATAATTACTATTGTGATCCGTTTTGTGTTTAAATAATAAGGTCAGAGATTGAGACCTATTGAAGGATATCCTGTACGAAATAGTATCACCACAGAGTTTTTTATAACAACTTCCTGGTAACATGCTGCATCGCTCCAATAAAAGAAATTATGTTTTTAAACTTTGAAACTACAATAGTTGGTTTATGCGATAGGAATAACGTTAAAAGAAGCCTCTTTTCCTGTAAAGGACAATCATTTTTCAGATTTAAAGTCAAATATTGCAGTTTTTTTTTATGATTAGCGTCAAATAACAACAGAAAACCGCCTTTAGCCGTGTTATTTGAAACGATGATTGGAGAAAAAGAATCACAACTCTCAGACTGACTTCCAAAAAATGTATACAATTTTCAAGATTGCCTGTCTCTTCCAGCTTTATTATATGTGTGGCTCAGATGTTGACTGTCAACACTAAGTTCAGGCCAGGCTTGCCAGTTTGTTTGAGCTCTATTAACTGTGTGGCTCTAATGTTCACTGTCAACACTAAGTTCAAGCTTGCCAGTCTATTCCAGCTCTATTAGATGTGTGGCTCTAATGTTCGCTCTCAACACTATCAAATTGTCTGATAAGTATCTGTGATGTGCACATATATGGGCATGATGATGTCATTTCACACCCAAATATGGGCAAATTGCAGCTATTTGTCACATAAATGATTGGACTATGTGCTGTGATTGCTGCAATATTTAAATGATCAAAATATTATAGTAATTGTTATTGTCGTGATGGAATGATAGACAATAACTGATTTGCGTCAGGAGAAACATGTATAGGTGTAATTTTGCCCTACCTGACGTGGAAATGTACCGAATACTCAGTACATTTGAAAACAACTGCGAAATGTACTGAGTATTCGGTACATTTCCACGTCAGGTAGGGCAAAATTACACCTATACAAAATATTATAGTTATTATAATTATTATTTTTAGTTGAGAAATATATGATATGGACTTGCTTTGGTTTTTAGCTGGTGTATTCATGATTTTTATTAAGTGATACAACATTTTATTTCAATCAGTTGCTTTGGCAGTCAGAAGTACATACAGTAATTGCATAATTGCGATTATGTAAAAGTGATTGTATTTTTGGTATTTTTTACAACTTTTAATTATTTTCTATGGCTGAATAACGTGATACTAAATTTGATATTTGTTTTTAAGTTAAATTTATAAGTTGTATTACAAATATAGATCTGCAATTATTTTCAGTTTATTAAAATAATCATGAACCTCACAGTCCAGGAAACATCTACCGGTATGCCCTTGGGTGACCGTGGATGTTGGGGTACACAGACACTTAAGGTTGTTTGAACGCCTACTTTATCAAATTAAGTAAAATAATAATAATAAATTTTAAATAGAACAGAAAATAAACAGACAATTAAAAATAATGTAAGGTTTGGTGATGGTATACCTGGTGTGATACCTGGCACTTGTGCGTGCCAGGCATATATTACAGGTTGGGCCATGAGTGGGCCTTGTATTCAATTTTTTAAATAAAGTGTGTTACATACAAAAATAATAGTTTCTAAGAAATTATAAAATATGATACCTATTTCTGTATTCTAGAAAATAAAATAGCTTAGATCATTTGCCTAAAGCTTATATTTGGGTACCCATCATGGTTTGTTATTGCCCATAATGCCTTGCAATATTTCGTTCAGATATGGTGATATTTGGACAAACAATATGAAACTGAGATGTATGAAGAAATATGTTATACTATAGCACTTCACTACTTAAATGTACAAATATTCATAACTACTGTAACTTCTATAGCTAATTTTGTAAATTATATCATTTAAAATCTCTATATAATCCATAGAATTTATCAAAGTCATTAGTAGATATTATTTAAATTTCTTTGTAGTTTATTAATATAATTAATTTACTTTATGCAATTTAATTGCATGAAGTTTTGGGACTTGGATCAGTTTTTGAATATGTTGACTATATAATAAACAGACAAAGACAATTATAAGAGATAACTTAGATATAGTTTTTTTTTGTTTTTGCTGGTAAATTTGAAAGGTTTTTACATTATCATCATCATAAATATCTACAGTATCATCCCTTTGTCTTTAATTAATGTTTGATGATGGTTATGATGATATGATAATCGCATGTAAACACATGCATGTGTGGTACAACATGTGAGTGTGGGATAAACGCCGATTCCTGGCCCTGTTCTGATTGGGCAATTGTTAAATTTGATTGGCACTCATGATAGGTCCTTTGTCATCATTCATGTACACACCCACTTTTCTTCCTTTGCCAATTTATGAAGCATCAGTGATGTTTCAGGGGTGCGCAGGGATATGCACTTCCCCCAAAAAAACTCGTACCCCCCCAGTCATAACACCTTATTTTGCATCCACCCCCCTCTCCCAATTAGATCTCCCCATTTCAAGACTCCTAGACAGTGGCATGTCTACGGGGTGCACATGCCCTTCCAAAAATGACTTGCGTAGCACCCCTCAACTGATCATTAATGCCCCCACTTCACCTTTGCGCCCCCATCAGCACCCCCCATTTCAAGACTTCTACATACGCCACTGCTCCTAGATTCGCCACTGTGAGACTTCAGGGCTAAATCATATTGATGTCCATCTATACCGTGAATGTCCACAAAAATCATTGGCCTATGCCTCTGATTATCACAAATATATGTGCAGCATTGTGAGGTGTGTATGGTACAAACTTTTAAGACAACCAAAGCAAAGACATACTCTAAACATCAACAGCTTTGAACCACTTTTATTTTCTCTCCGGAAAAGTAAATATTTATTTTCTACATAATTACATTAATTCACTTCATTTCTGCCAATTGTAACTTGTTGACTGCCAGACCTTTTTTTTAAGCTTTCTGCCAAAACAAGCTTGGTATATGTTCAAAAGGAGCCCCCTCTTGTACCGTCTACTACCGTCAAAGTAACACAACAAACATAATATGACAATAACATACAAATGATGTATGTTATCTTCCTCAAACTACCACCAGCCGTTGGGTCTGTGGTTATACGATGTATAAAAAAAGAAGTAATAAACGCTAGAATGTTACCCCGATGATTTTGACGAGTATATTTGTCCTGGTGCCCTCGGCAACACCCATGTGGGACCAGTATACTCGTCCCTGGCAGCCAACATGTTAAATTTTAACTGGTTTTGTTATGTTGACCTTTTGCTAATCTTAATTATAAATGTTACCTGCATTTGTTATTTAAAAAAATATATGACATGCACGTGATATTAAATCACCATAAAACTTGGCGTGTATAGTTTTGATTTTAATATATATGAACTCACTGATGATACTTTGAACATGGAAGAATTATTTTGATAATTGTTTTAGCACATTGTGAACTACTGCAATGGATTTGTGCGCCTTATAAATATTATCATTTATTTATTATTACAGTATTATTATTATTATTATTAAGGATCCTTCCTATTACAATATTTTAGACCTGGGCAGCATGAATAACCCTCACAATTTTGTGTCTAAGTGTATCTGTTAAACAATTTTGTGTCTGGGGTCCGTTACTAGTAGTTTTTAATGGGCAGTGGTATTAAAGTAAGGTGGTGCTTAACTGCAGCTTCTGCAAGCTCCAGGAGCCCATCTAAATAGTCAAAAATCTAATTTGAATGAGGAACAGTGAATGTGCCAGCTGGGGAGGAGGAATTTGCCTATACAAATAACGTTATTTTGATTACCAATCCCTAATATTCTGGTCTAAAAGCACAATTCTTGGGTCATACTAAGACATAAAAACTCTCCCCATGAACCCTACCAGAAATGTTTATTCCGGGACCTTGACCATGGCTATATTCAGCCCCTTGGTTTGGACCCCTGTCAATAAATTTCTGAGGCACCACTTCAGATTTACTATTTATTATTATTAGTATTATACTATGTGTACTCACAAAATGCGTGGAAAGTAACTGGCCACCCTACCACACAATACCGAGGCTTAGTACGATGGGCTAACAGCTCATTCCCCTACATTCAATAATGAATATGGGACTACCTTTACCTTACTCACAAAATAGAAAATTGGTAGTGTGGCTAGCACGACCCTCCATAACACCAAGTTACTCTATTTATATTGAGAAATTGCTTAACACTAAATTACTATCATTTTATTACTTATTTACTCTTCAAATAGAAGCCAAGTTCACCATAGAGGCCCTCTCACAGAAAAGTATATTTTAATACAGTACAGTATACAACATATACAAATAATATATAAATATTAACAACAAAACAATTTCTAACATTAATTAAAAACATTTTTTTTTGGCAGCTGAAATCATATCATGACATTTACGTACATCTCAGATATGAGGTACTGTAAATTCATCGCTCATATCAGGAAACATAATGAAAGGAAATTGTGTTAGTTCGTGAATACAAAATAGCACATTAAAATAAACGCTGTTGTTGTTACAGATTTTTTGGTTTTTAACACGAGACTTTTTTATATCATGTTCAACAAACCTGCAACCCACCAATAATAATGATCTCGAATAAAAATAAGATTTTATTTTTGGCCAATTAGCGCACCCCCGCCACGAAAAAATGGAAATTTCAGAAAAAAAGAAAGGTTTCCCTTTATTTTTATTACTGCTGCTGCTGCCATGAAATCTTCCTAATTATATAGATTTAAAGCAGTTCACCGTCCCATTAAAATTTTATTTTTATTTTCTACTCCAACTGGATGTTTTTGGCAAAAATATTTGCTAAATGAAAAAACACAATTTTGTTTAAATTTTTTCCACCCTCTCCTAATGAAACTTAAAGAAACAAGGTATAGAAAAAATCTCGCCTAAAGATTACAAAATTGCTTGACAACCAATACGTGCTTATGTTGACGCGCTTTCATTTTGTTAGTTTGTAATGCGAGCGATGAATTATACAAACATAATTTTCAGAATAAAACTACAGGGCAATTTGAACAACACCTGAGGGGTGAGGTGGCTTTGAATTACGTCCACCTAGGTATTCCACTTTTTTTTAGGGTAGTCCTCACATTACCGTAACACTGACATAAAGGGGCTCTTTATAACAAACACATCACCCGTATTTAACTAGCACAGAATAGACGGGGTTGAGGCGATACCACAGAGACTTGATTCACGTGGTCTAGGTCAATTGCGATTCTGAAGAGCCATCCGAGTTGTCACATGCATATCATCAGGGTAACGCTTTATTACCTCCTCATTGGCTAGATAATAATTCCCTTTGAACTCCACAAAATGCTTGCCAACCTCAGAGTGAGTAATCACTTGTGGATTTGCTTCTATCATCAAACTCTCTGTTAAGAATAAAAGAGATTAAATTTAGATTATCATTAATTTTTAATACCACATTTATAGAGGGTGACCCAGCTTATCTAGAAGGTGACTATTATAAGATTATTTGTAACAAGTACAATTAAGATTCAAGACTCGAGCCCTGATGTATCTGTGTGTGTGCTGAATCGTGGAAATTCATAGCTGCTTCCCTTAAGTTTCAGCTGGAAGGCTGAAATGCAAATTTCAAAAGAGCACTATCATTTGGAAGAGACATAAGAAGTTGATCGTGTGCAATATGGCCCATTTAATCTTAAAGTGTGCAGTACACTCTTCGGAAATGAGCATGACATTGTTTTTCTGGAGTGCTGCCCAGTTCATCAACAGTAGGACACCACTATGAGTTAATTCGTTAGATTTCTGTGGGAAATTCTGTACCTTAGTGTTTCCAATCCAACCCTTCTCTAGGTCATGCTAACTAACCTTGTGCTGCATAGCGTTTAGACTGATCTGCAACAAGCACGTTGTAGAATGGTTGGCGATCTTTATTCGGAAGCCTGTCTACACCCATCTGCGACTTCCAATTCTCAGACATCTCGCATAGAGGGTCCCATCCATAGATAACACACATATAGTCATATCTGAAAAAACAATTATGATAATAATATTTTAGATTTACATTCGGGTCTCTCAGTAGAAAAAGACAAAAGTGATAAAGTGCCTTGCCCAAGGACACAGGCAAAATACACAGCGAGGGATTGAACCACTGACCTCAATTTTAAGAAGCCAAACCACAATCGTTTTGCTAAACTGCTCCTATGGGTCACAATTATACCAAGACATCTTGTATTATGTTCTCCAAAGGCACTCCTAGAATTCATCTATCCATTGATGTTCAAAACTAAACATCCTGATATTTTTATTATCTTACCATCTGTAATCCAACGCTAATGTACTATATGTGTAACACCTGAAATAATGTTTTTAAATTTTAATTCTTTAAAATTATAATTGAATCTTGTAGCATTAATTAATTAATTAGGATTATATATACTTCATTGTTTCAGAAAAGAAATAATATTTATAACATATATTTTATTTTACTAGATATGAATTAAAAAAACTTTAGAACATGTAAGATTTTATACAAGATGTTTGATTAAACTAGCCAATGAAGTACCTTCGATGCCGCATGATCATCCCAACAGAATATTCCACTTCCTGGTGGTCTGCCCGCCTTTTCACTGTAATAACCTTGGGAGAAAAAGACCATTAATATTTATGCATATGGAATTCAATAAAATATATTTGGCACTGCAGTACTGTAATAGCAATTTATATGCCATATGAATTCAATGTTTACAGATTATTTTTCATCAAGTGGATGAAGTAAAGATGATAATAAAAATATATTTCTCATTTCCCTCTGTATTTGAAATTTGTCTTGTCGGAATCTGGAGTATCTGAGTTAAGTTTTATAAATTGTATCAAATATTAAAACTAACTTTGTTTGGATTTTCTTCTTCTTCTAGTAATGTATGCGCCTCTCGTATCATGTACTTTTTAAGAGTTAACATGTTGTTAGTAGTTGGATGACATTGTCGCAGATAATCCAAAACCTTCAAATAAAAAAAAAAGTTACAAAAATATCTCATAATTATTGATATCCATAAAGGGGGTCTGGCACATAAGAATGGAAAGAGACATGAATGGAACTATAGAAAAGAGGTTGGGTACACAAGAAAACACTGTAGGCTGGCATTAAAGAAGTTGGTATGGGGGGGGGGCATCCAGTAAACTTGAAAATAATTAATTTTTTGATCTGTGGATAACTTAAGTAATACTTAAATGTACAATTCAAAGTATTATTCAAATTTTGCAGATATTTTTGGCTTTGGCCATGTTATATCTTCAAGAAATTTATAGTTCAACTTCTTTGTATATATTCAATTTATATATGTATTAATTAATTTATTTGTACATTAATTTATTTATTCAAGTATTCATTTTGTCATTCACAGAATAACAAAATTATTAATTAATTCAATAACTGTTATTAATCAACTTATTTTATTAATAAATTTTCAGGTTGTAGTGAGTTGCTACGTACCTCTTGTACATTCATACCAGATTGAAGATAGAATCTACGCAATGTGATTGCAGCATCCTCATCATCCGAGCAGAGGAGAAGGAACAATTCATACCCATCGAGCATCCTCCTAAAAGTAAATTTTTAAAAGTTGACAAAACAGATGTATGTTCATAACATAAAAATGTATTACAGTAGAACCCTTATTAAGGGGACACCCTCTTGGGACCAAAAAAAGTGTCCCCTTAATTAGGGGTGTCTCTTTAATAAGTGTTTACCATAATGTTAAAAGATATATTTCCCCTTATTTAACGGAAAAGTGTCCCCTTAACAGCAGAGGTGGCTCCAGAAATTTGCAGACGGGGTCCCGGCATGTCCACCACTGCTTAATAGCGGTATCCCCTGAATATGGGTGTCCCAAAGGAGGAGTTCTACTGTATCACATCATAAATATATATGGACACATCATGACTATATATGGGCACATCATGACTATATATGGGCACATCATGACTATATATGGGCACATCATGACTATATATGGTCACATCATGACTATAATGGGCACATCATGACTATATATGGGCATACAACACTTTTTTGTCAAAGAAAATCTGATAGTTTGGACAAAGCTTAATACTTGGGAAGAAGGCATTTGCCCAACAAACACAAAACATTCTTATAACATTCGCGAACGTTGTGGTTAGGTAGGTCATAAAATAACGTTCACACAACGTTTTAAGAACGTTCAAACGTTGTGAAATTAGTTTATAAGTACGTACATATGGTTCTAGAAAATAACGTTTGTATCACCAAACTGTAACATTATTACATTCTTTTAATGTAATATTGTTAGCTGGGTGATCATGTCTTTTATTTGTTGGTACCATTCTTATAAGGAAGAACGAGATAATTACTACAAGTTAACAAACACAGCAACAAGCAAAATGATGATAATACGACACAATGCCTCCTGGATGCACATTAATACTGCCCCCAATAGTTAAAAATGTGTACGTACACATCATCAAGGTGCGATGTGAGCCTCATGAGGTTGGCAACCATCCTGACGTACACTGCTCTTGTCGAGCATGCTCTGAAGTACTCACTGCCAATGCCAAAGGTATTCATCATCGGAGACAATGAATAACACTCAACATTGCTCAGCCTCTGGCCACTGTGAAACACATCAATGTACTTGTACTTATTTGCGTTATTTTTCTGCCTGTAATATAAAAAAAGGACTTGCATTACAGCAATAATATTCAGGCAGAGGTGGCTACTGAAAATTTGGAGACAGTGGGGACCGAACCAATTGGGCTAATTGAAACAGGTGGCTGATTAGAGCCTCAGTCAGTGCTCCACAGTAAACTCCCTGATAGGGTTCAATGGGAGAGTTTTTATGGCTTAAGCCGCAATTGCACTGGACTTTTTTTGGTAAAACTAGCCAAGACGCTGGTTAGTTTTACCATAATCAGTCGAGTGTGACCAGCCCAGCAAACTTACCTCTCAGGAAAGCTTCCCGAGACAAGCGGTTACTTTAACCGAGTGGATTTTTACCCAGTAAAGCTGTAAAAAAAAAGTCCAATGTGAACACACGTCTTGATTAAACATTCCAAGCCATTCAAGTGTAACCCAACTTGGTTAGTTTTACTATTTCTTGCAGTAAAACTGACTCAAAAAATCCGAGTGCGGACACCAGTAAGATATACCCATTGGAATGTTACACACAGTCTCGGAAAATCTTCCCCTTTTTTATGTCTGGCGCAATTGCGGCTTTCTGGTATGGCCCAAAATTGTGCTTTTAACCCAAAATTTTAGGGAATGGCAATCAAAATAATGTTACTATTTGAATAGGCCAAAATATTTTTAGTCCAAATACCTCAGGGTCAGAACAGGTTTAATACAATCAGCAGCATTATTCATTTTTCATATTTATTCATTTATATGGTAGAACTCACATGGGTTGAACATCCAAACGTAAAATAAAGTGGTTAGGAAAATTAACCGGGTCGAGGGTGATGCCAAGACGTCTTGCTACTGCTGAGTAGATGACAGCTAGAGAGATAGGAATTCCCTGCTTGGTTTCCAAGACCTGCAAAGAATTCCAAGAAAACCATTATTCGACAATCATTCATTTTTTCCCATAGTACAGAGTGTATCCAAGGCTTTAGTGTATGTAAATAGTAGTAAAAAGTAAAAAATGAAATTAATACAAAACAATAATTAAAAATAAAAGTGACTAAGAACACAATAATTTTAAATTTCATGCACACTCAGAATTGCAACCACATTGAGAATTGCAACTATTCTTGGCACAAATGGACACTACTTGTACAGTAAGTATTTTTGGTAATACTAATAGACCGATTCGGTGATGGGTCTCACGTGACCTAACTTGGGTGTAAACAATGGACTGGCACAGCAGTGTTTAAATGGAGATTGCTATGGTGGCTGTGATGATAATTGCTGTATTTGTTCTTTTGAGCATGATTTAAATTGCTCTAAGTCGACTGTTGATGTGCCGAAATTAACCACACAAACTTTGTGTAACTGGTCGTCCACAGGAATTTGAGATTTTAAAACAAATATTAGGCCTAGGCCCCTGCATATCTATGGCCTGCATATGCACGAGAGTCTTCGACTCGTGAACTACGATTCAATTCAATTCAATATTTATTTGCTACAAAAGCCATCAATGGGCTATTATCCGCCATACAAAAAACATAACACAATCGATTATCAACATTTATTATAGCCAATAAAAATTTTTCAAAATAAGAATTAAACAACAAATCAATGCGTTCCAAGCAGAGTAGTACAGATAGAGGCATTGTTTGCAGAAGACGGATCGAGATTTAGAGACGAGCAAAGCTTAAGTGCATATGGGAGAAACGAAGATTTGAAATGTTCGGTTCTACAAGAAAGTCGTAAGAAGGCAGATTGTTGGTGATTCCTAAGCGAGATAGAAGTTTGACGTCGAGGCGGGAGGAAATCTGTGAGAATGTGATTGTAAGATTGAACAATTCGACAAAATATGTATAGAGTGAAATATTTAAATCTTGTGCCGTACGTTGTGATACCATACTGACCAAATAGTTGTGCATATGAAGAATATGACGAGTGATCTGATAAAATTTTACTAAAAAGATATTTAATACATTTCAAATATGCACATTCCATCACTGATTGGACATGGGATTTATATAAGAAAACGAGAGATGTTTGGTCAAGTGAATGCTTTAGATATTTCATCACAGAAAGTTTGCGGACACATGATTTATATATATTGATAATTTGTGAATGCCACTTTAGATTGTTTGAGATTGTAATACCTAAATATTTAAGTTCTTGGACTATGTCAATCAGCGACCCACAGAGAGATTTTGAATTGCTCATTTTATTCGTGGCCATTTTGATTTATTCTGTGCTAACAGGTGGACAATCATGAATAGGAGGAGGGATGCAAGAATCTGGTACAATAAACATAGCGTCACTGGAACACTGTTTAGCAAAAACAGAGTTGAATTGACAGGCAATTTCAAAAGGGTCATTGAAAATGGTACCGTCTGGAGTGGTAAAAGCGTTATGGGACCTATATTTGGTAGGAAGGATTTTTTAAATTTGAGACCACCAATTGTGCTTTAAGTTTCCAAAAACATTAATATTATATTTTCTTTTTGCTCTACGAATCTGTGAACGTACCCAACCCTTCAAAACCAAAAATAGGTCCCTGTCATTGAACCAGGCCCATTGTCTAAATAATATTAACTTTTTAAGGCCTGGACTTAACCATTTAGCATCATTAATGTGTTTCCTTACATTACGATAACCTAAACATGAATTAAGCAAAGATTTAATGTATGTGGATGAATAGTCAATAACTGTTCGAAGTAAGTCCAGTCCGTATCATTAAGTTTGTTTTTAAGCATCCCAATAGATGCCGAATCAGTTCGTAACATTCTAGTTTTGATGCAAGCACCTGTTCATTCGTTGTTCCAGCGGGATATCAAATGACACCGCCTTGTGACCACAGCCACTTAACCAATTGTATACATGTACGTTCCATACAACGTTGCTGCGGCCCATTACAATCTCCAATGTATTATTTTCCCTTGTCAATTTAGTGATGAACTGCTCAAATGGTTAGTATTCTGGAAAATTAAAAGATTTTCAGAACGACAGTCGTTAAAATCGCCACAAATAATCAGTTTGCTTCCGTGTTGTATTCCAAGAATAGTTTCTTGTAACTGATCGTAACATGCTTGAATGCACGCACCAGGTGGTCTATATACACTAAGAATATGAATGATTTCCTTATTTATGATCAGTTTGGTAAGTATAAATTCAACATTTTGATCACAATAAGATTCACTCATTGAACAGGATACATTTATTGTGCAATAAACAAGTAAGCCACCTCCTCGGGAATAACCCCTGTCCCTACGCATCATTTCTTAACAAGGAAGTTCATACACGGAACCGTCGTCGAATTGATTCAGCCATGTTTCCATAAAAATTAAAAGATCTGGAGATTTTCCTGATGTTAATGCAGCCTGTATTTCATCTAATTTGTTACGAATGCTGCAAAGGTTTTGAAGAACGCAATATAGCTTACTCACATCTCCGGTGCATCTTTTGTGACTTTTCCCACCACGACGACCCTGTGTTCTTGGCTTCGTTCCAAATACACCAGTGTCGTTCTGTACGTACTCGTTGCCGTTAGCATTAGCAGTCGGCCTACCGCTCGTAGGGTAGGTTTTACATATGAGTAATTCCTCTAATTTTGTTGACAATATCGGCATTTGTAGTGGTAATAATTGTTGATCTAATATCAAATAATACTTCTCTTGAATAATTTATGACTATAAGACGACAGAAACACCAAGACAATATCAATATAGATAGAGCGATCTGTCGCACGTCCAACACGAACGGCGCCATCATACTTGACCCTACGATTTCTAAGCTAGCTAAGGTTTCTGAAGAACCACATAAATTTCAAAGCATGCAATACAAGAAGAACACTGGAATAAGTAAATAAACACTATTTTGAACTATTGTATTGCCTTTCCTTGCCACATATTTCTCACGTTAACAGTGGGTGGTTGTTTTTGCAAACATAACATTACCTTTTCCTATACATTCACACTGATCACACCGTAATGATTTGCAGGTTATACCCACCTTACATCACATGACCGCCCATAAACAAACATTGCCGAATGGGTCTATAAACTGTTGTATTGATATTCTTATTTTTTGTCCACAAGCCATAAACACACAATTTATGATTTATGTATAATATTCAACATGCTAAGATATTTCCTTGGAATCATGCAATATTGGTGTTAGGTTTAAGTGCAGTCCACACTTTGTCACTTTTTATGTGACAAATATATGGGCATATCACATTTATTTGTCACACAAAATTTGATAGTGTGAGCCAAGCTTTAGACAAGAATCTCAGCCATGTAAATTAGTCATTCTGGCTCTGAATAGTAAGATTTTTTTGGATCAGGCCTCAGACACAAGCAAGATTAAACTGGATTTTAAACACTTACTCACCTTGTCAATAAAAGAATTATTAGGGTTGTAATAATCATCCTTATTACCCTCAAAATTCTCCACTTCATAGAAGATTGTATTGAGAACATCAAGAACAAAGGTACTTTGATCAACGGAGAGAGGTTCTACATCGGGTAAAATAATCGTAACATTAAAGCTAGACAACATTTTTTAAGTATCAAATGTTATTCTTTAAGATTTTTTGCTAGTGTTTAAATAGGATGTAGGCCAATAGATGTGTAATTGTAGTGTAGACAATTTATATATTTGCAAGACTACATTAAAGACAAAATGTAAGGTTTACTGTTATTCATTTACATTATGGTGGTCATCCTCCTTATCACCAATACCGCATTACCATTACCAGCATTATCATTATTATCACCACCATTATCATCACCTTTATCAGTCCTATCATCACCACTATTATCATTATCACCCTAATACCATCATCACAGCAATATTGTCATCATCAGTATAAGCATCACCACTGCCATAATCACCACCATTGTCATTTTCATTACCATCATTATCACCATTGTTATTATTATCATTATCATCACCACCACCACCACCAACTAACCCCGAAACTGAATTGCAGAAATATCGGGATGGTGTCTGGGTTCAAAGGGTTTGAATGAACCCTCCTTTTTTTAAGAAGTGCCCTTATGAAATTGTATGTAAAAATTTAGTGACATTTCTGGGCATCTAAGAATCAAGGTCATGAAAATTATTACTTTGTAAAAACTGTTACTGGTGAAAAGTCATAGAATAAATAAGAAAGGCATTTGGTCAATAAGAAAAACTGTAAATTTACCATAAAAAAATTCCAATATTGATGACATGAATGAGTCTAAAATAGTATAATGTTGTTGGTTTTTTTTTTCTTTTTTTTTTTTTTGCTTGTCAAATTTGGATTTTGCATGCATATTTCCCCATCAAACATTATCATAATATAATTACAAAAATTTTCCGTTTTCTGAAAAAATCGAACTCCCCTTTACAAGTTATACTTGAACTTGAATTATATATACTGTATATTGCTATATATAACGTTTATATTATGTTCATTGTCATGACTTAATGGTTGTAATATCCTCACCATCTACTGAGCCTTGACTGGCTGGGTGCTCATCACCATACCTGATACACACTTGTAGTCGAACCCTTTCTGCCAACTGGTCAAGCCTTTCATAAATTTCTTTCTTGTTTACTCTTGTTCCTGATTGGTTCCACTGTGCTATCACAATTGCACCTGCAAGGCAAATACAATAATTTAAATCTACGCATACAGGGGTGAAGGCTAGTTTCATACTGGCGATGGGGGAGTGCGAAAATTGAGGTTGTGGAACTGGGGGTGCGAGAATTTTGAATGCGGAACTAATTTTGATAACTGACATTCACTGCTCATACTGTATATAGGGGTCCCGAGTGTCCCTGAAATCAGAATAGCCTCTTGCAGTCCCGCAAGAATATCCTGGAAAATATTCAATCTCCCAAATCTTTGTAAAATTTGCATATTTTACTAATTTATTATCAATTATAAACAAAATATAAAAGAACCACTTATCATCCAGAATTCTACTGTTGAAATAGTTAATTCCTTCAAATTTTTGGGTACATATATTACAAATGACTTCAAATGGGGGGAAAACGTTCATCAGTGTGTGAAAAAGGCACAGCAGTGACTTTATTTTCTGCGTAGATTGAGGTCCTTCGAGATTAGTACCCCTGTGATGGGTCAATTCTATAAATCAGTGATAGAGAGCGTTCTAACTCTTTCTGTTATTATCTGGTATGTGTACACCACAGAAAAGGAGAAGGACCTAAATAGTGTAGTTAAGTCTGCATCATTGGAATCGAGCAGCCTTCGGTGATGTAATCCATCATGACCGTATGGTTAAAAAGGCAATGGCAATCGCTGGGGACAGAAATCACCCGGCCAACCTTTTGTTACTGTGATGCGGAGTGGTCGCCGATATCAATCACTAGTGACCGGGAGGGGTAGATCTCTACGTGGCTTCTATCCCTCTGCCTTTAGGGCATTGAACAAGTCACTAGTTTGAATTTTCGTATTTTATGTTTGTTTTTGTTAAGGAACCAGATCAAATTTCATTGTATGTGTATTGTACATGTATATGTGGCAAATAAATTTATTGAGCATTGAGCATTGAGTATTGAGCAATTGTCTCGCAGAAGTCACTGCCCATGGGTATCACCATGCATAGCACAATAAAGGCTATGTTCTCACACGGCAGCTAACGGTTAGCTGTATTTTGTGAATTACTACTATAAAAAAATAAATAGGGCTACTGTAACATTAGTCTGTATCATGGAGTGTATTAACCGGTATTAAATCACCTAAGCTACTCTATAAACCAAGTGTGATTTTAATTGATCATGTATCTTTGAAATTCATGTACAGTGTATATACTGTACTATCTCGAAAAAAAGGCCATGTTTTCTTGAAAAGAAGCCCATGAGCTTCGAGCTTCTATTCAAGTTTAAGAAAGCTCATTTGACCAGATCTCCTGGAAGGTACTTCTTCCAACTTGGGACTCCTGCATACCCTCAGACTATTAACATCGACCATGTATTTGTATGTAGAAATTCAGGATATGGCTTCTTTCACCACCTTGTTATGTGGTTCTGTCATTGTGTGAATTCACCATAACCTACCATCTTCAAGGCTTTGCTGATCTTCAGGGGCATCAAGAAACTTCAAGAAATCCTTTTCTAAACGTGGATGTTGAAGATACCGTAGCGCCCTCACAGCATAGTACTTCTGGGTTAAATTCTGAAATCTAAAGTAAGAATATAAACATATAAATACAGGAATTATTGCTATACAATCCAAATAAACATGACAAATTTGTTCATCAAATGTAGGAATACTTCTCTTCCTATACCATATTTGTGAAATTTGCTCAAAACTATTATCTATTTTTTAATATATTTTTTGTACCATACCTCTATGATGTTACACTTACTAGCATTACACCTATGTTACACATATATGTTTTACACCTACATTGTGGTATTACACCTCTACTATATACCTTAAAACTATATACATACATGACACCATGTTACAATATGGAACACCATATTACATACTGTATGTTACACATGTTACACCTATGTTACGCATATAATATACTTGTTACACTTACGAATCTCCTTCGTTTAGCACATCAAGGAGCTGTTCCTCAACGCAGACATTTCCAACATCAGCTTCATACTCCGCAGCTAGTTGTTGAAAAGGTGTAAAGCGCTTGTAGGACACCTCCCGTTGTTCATAGCACTCATTCACAAGATCCTGTAGCAGGATTTCCACGTTCCTGATGCACCGGAATCGGAATTTATACAGCTCTTGCCAATTGTGTTTTGATGCATCCAAGGAGTCGCTTATTTGTCCCAATTCTGGCCATCTATGGAAACAAATACATCCAAGGAAACAAATACATCAAAGGAAACAAATTCATTCAAGGAAACATGGTTTTAGGTCAAGTGATGCTTAGTGCAGGCACATTATTATTTGGAAGTGATTAATTTTATTCATCCTACCATCCTAATAATAGATAAATAGCCTAGCCCGAATAATCATTAATTATAATATCTATTAATATTTTTCCAACATAGTTTATGAACTTTAAAAATGTGGTATATATTGCGAACCAACAATGATAGCATAAAAACAACAACGGTGCTAGTTGACTTCTACCAACCACCATCATGACATGCTTTCACTTCACACAACATACAGTAACAGACTACACTGTACACATAAAGTAGCCTACTTCTTACCTACGAAGGAGTGTTCGTTTCCAAATCTCGTTGCTGTAACTTATACTTTGAAATCGTTTGCACGTACATCCAAAGCTAAGGATATCTTGTGCTTCTAACACTCTATTAAATAGAATGTATTCTAATAATTCGTCAGGCAAATTTTCAAGATGTACTGCCTGCATATTTGAGATATGATTTCATAACAAATTCCACCATTCCACCATTATTTACTACAGTGACCCTATTTGTAAACAAACGCCCTCTATCGATTACTTTTATTAAAATACCTACGCAAATTTAATGTAGGCCTACAAAATGTATTGCAACAAGCACAGAAATGTTAAACATAAAAAAAACAATTAAATATTTAAAATATAAATAAACCATATATTATCAATTATTAACTGCAATAACTACAGGTACAAACTAAAACTGTAAATTTCAACTTGAATTCAACTTGAAGTATATTTCAAGACATTATTATACTAAATTTCAAAATACATTTTTACCTGAATATTAAAAATAATATAATAATAATAAATAATAAATAAATAAATAATAATAATAATAATAATAATAATAATAATGAAAAATATAATGATTTCTAAAATTTAATATTTATTTTTTTCTTTGAATAATATTTAATGTTGGTAAACCATCCCACAGAAGCTGATCATTTGGGAGCCTTAATATGTAACATATTAATAATACAAATTACAGGAAACATCTTAACTACCAATCTAAATACAATGATCAGAATATAATTGAATAAAACAAAATAAAATCATTACTACGTAAAATTAATATAACAATAATAGAAAATGCAGATTATTGCAAAAGCCAAAAATAAAAAGTAAGTTCTAGTAAAATTTAAAAATATGTATAAAGAATCTTCTCATTAAGAAAATACAGTAAAAAAGTGTCAAACAATATTAAGTAGTAAAATAAGAAGGAAAATACAGGTAAAAAATAATATTATGTAGGCCTATGATAGGTAACAATAATAAAAGAAATCAATCAAATGCAAATGTATTTTGAAAAGAAAAATCACATAAGAATTGTTAATGAGCAAGAGGATTTTTACATAAACTAATAAACTTTTTAGTTCAATCCAACAGGTTACAAGATGAATAATATTAAGCAATTAGTATAGTTGCGTATCATACAATATGTGAAAATTATTATACGACGGTTATCTCCCTGGTTAGATTAATGCAAGAAAATAAATTCATGAGCCTGAGTGCCTGCAAATAGTTATTTGGGAGTTGTCATTCTGTATGAGCTGTGATTTTGGTCAAGCGATAGATCGTATCATGATTGAGCGAGAGAGTTGACCGTGTTGTAATTGGGAGTTCAGTCGTTTATGTAGATGAAGGTTACGGGTAATGGGATAGGTAATGGTCTACTCTGCAGTATTATTAATAATAATAAATTAATAATAATAATGAGTAGATAATCAAAGAAGGAAAGAAATAAAGCATGGTGAAGTAGAATGGGAGTAGACTGGTTAACAAACTTGATATAGCGCCATCTGTTGTTGAAATTGGAACGATATAGCGAGAGAGAGCCACATTTTCCAACAGCAGGGTGATGTATGAGATTTGTCGATGAATTTTTCCGTATGAGTTCAGATTTTTTAACTTAATTTACGTGGAATTATTACTTTTTCACATATTGGACCATGGCAACCGTTGCTCGAAAGCTGAGAAGAAGTGATACACTTGAAACTGAACGCCAGAATTTTGTCAAACAACAGGTAAACAAAGAACGATTGCAAATCAACTTTGTCTTAGCCTAGCCTAGGCGGTATTCGCCTAGGCTAGGCCTAGGCCTCAAAGGCATAGCCTGCCTAGAATAGGCTTGTCTAGGCTAGGACATAGGCTTAGTGCCTATGTTTTTATTTATTTGTTTATTTAATTATTTATTTGTTTATTCATATATTTATTTATTTATTTGTTTATTAGTTTATTAATTTATTTTTTCTTTCTTTAGACTATAGTAGTAGTAGGCATTTTCAGTACTTAGTAGGCTAGGGCCTAGGCCTAAGCCTAAGTTATGTTCTGGTTTTCAAAGTGGTACAGGTAAAAACAAAATATCAAAAAATGAAAGAATATGCACACAAAACAAAGTCAAAAGAAAATTCAATGTAAACTTATAAATTAATAGAAATTTTGGAATAAAAATAATGTCATTTCTGTTTAAAGTTTTTTTTTAAATTACCGTATTTCCTCGGGTATGTACAGTAAGCCCACCTCGGGTGTTTCAAGCCCACCCCCTAATTTACACCCAAATTTATTATCAGCCTTTCCTAGGACAAAAAAACCAGTTTATGACTTACAAATATTCTCAGAT